CAAGCTATAAATAGGGTTTGATTGTAATTTGAGTTTTAATTTGATGATATATTGTTGTATACGATATAGGGTGAAATAAATAAGAAATTCCAATAAAGTCATCCGGATATTTGCAATATTCTTGAATAGATCTTGACATATTCAATAAAATATGTTTTCATATTTCACTGAATATTTTATATAATATATTTTCCAGACGTTAAATGTTTTATTAAGTAAGTTTTTAGTAAAAATTCTAGAAAATATGTAACAAAATATACAGAATATTCTACCTTGACATTCATATTTGTTGCCAATAGACTCAAATGAATTGAAAAACGACTGTGAATTGAATGATAAACAAAATTCCTTTCAAGAAATATATCTTAAATTCAATAATATCAAAAAATTTCCCCTCACATAATAATCATATATTATACACATGCATCTTAAACCATTATTTTAACATTTAGGACCAGAAATATTATATCATAGTATTAAATAACAAATACATTGAGTGAATCCATGAGAGAAATTAATTTCATTTTTATCTCTTATAGTCAGTATATTTATTAGTTATCTAAGAATTGACTAGCTTTCATAAAATTACCGCAACTTTAAGAAAACTTACACTGATGGAACATTTTTATGAATCAATAACATTTCAATAGGAATTCTATAAATTATATAACATTTTGAACACTAATTACTACTTAACTTTGAAGCAATGAGTGGGTTTAACGTTATAAATAGGAACTAATAGTAAACGCCATAAATGTGTGCTTATAAACATGTTTTACTGCATTTGTCACAATCGTTATTCATAAAAGCGATATATTTTTANCTACTTAACTTTGAAGCAATGAGTGGGTTTAACGTTATAAATAGGAACTAATAGTAAACGCCATAAATGTGTGCTTATAAACATGTTTTACTGCATTTGTCACAATCGTTATTCATAAAAGCGATATATTTTTATTATGTTTGCCAATACTTGTGTAATGAAAGTCTTGGTGAGATTAAAATAAATCCATAATCTTGAGCAGCATATGATATGATGAAATAAAATAAAATAAAATAAAATAAAATTTAAGTTTTATTAAAACATATTTCAGATAGTCGATGTTTAGTCTTGCTTATTTATATATTAATACTTATATGAATCAAATTAATAAAACTATTTACATATTCAGTATATAGAATTAATACTGTAATTCTCAAAACATTAAGAATTGCATAATCTATTCAAACTTAATTTAATAAAAATCATTTTCTACAGTTTTATGAAAGTTTTTAAAGCTATTACTATAATCTAATTCAGATAAGGCTCAAAATAAGTTAGACAGTAAAATTAATTTATATTCTACAAAAGTTTTATAATTATTTTATGTAGCAAACCAATTTATTATCAAGGTTGATATTTAGTAAAACTGTTAAACTTTAATACTTTAGTCTAGTTATTTCCAAATTTAATTAAAATAATTTGGTGTTATAGATTTTATGGCTATAAATAGTTAGCAAACATTCAAAGAACTCATTTGAGTCACAATTTGTAACATTTTATTATAATTACTTAAATAAGTTTTATTGCAAACATCTATGACAAGCATTTACTCATTACTGACTACTGTATATATATTTGAATATATTTTTATTAATTTTAAGAAACATTAAATTCTACTATAATTAATGAAAATATTTGTTATAAAAAGCAAAATAACATATTCACAGAAATATCATGTAAATTAACAAATAAAATAATTATGATTCAAAATTTAAAATAGCAATTAATTTTTAACATGATATGTGCTTGCTTGAAAACAGGTGTAATGATGTGCAAACTAGTCGTGGCACTGGAGGCCACCTCGATATTCGTGTCGACCATCAGCATCACTGCCATTGCGTTGGACAGGTATCAAGTGATACTCCATTCTGGTGGTGAAAATCGTATGTTTGGCTCTCTATTCAAACTGTTGTTTATATGGTTTTTCGCTATAATGCTGGCCCTCCCGCTCTTCCTATTCCGCACCGTCGAGACCCACGAATTGAGTAATTATTTCGTTTTAATTTACCTTGTTTACTCTACCGTATTGTTTATCTCATTCTGTCTATGGTTTCTCAGGCATTCAGACATATTCAAAAGAGTTACTCTATAGATAGACTTGTATGACATACTGTAGTCCAATACTTTTTTTATTGTCTAGACATTGAACTTATATTTACAGAATATCCACGAAAACAATTCCTTATACTGTGTGACAATAAATCAAATATTAATTCAGTCGAGAGATTGAGCAAACAATGGATAAGTGCTATTTGTTTGCACTTATTAACTGTTTTGTGAATTAGAAATTTCATTTAAAAAATAATTCTGAATATTTCAGGTGATATCAATACTAGTAATATAATATTACCGGTAGTTAGAAATAATTTTAAAAATAAATTATAATAAAAACTTTAATGTACTAGTTTTCTGAATATAATTTTTATGTTTTTTGAAAACATTTCTTAGAAAAATGGTTTATAAACATAAATTCTGGAATTAACATGTCTATAAAATCTACAGTACTCACAAAACAACAGGGACATAGAGTTATGCATAAAAATATTATAAATATAAAATTTATTTAGATAAGTAACAAAATTATTCAAAAACCTTTCAATTTTAAAGTACTGAAAATTTTAAGCAAAAAGTAGTTTAAATTACAATATTATAAATATATTTTTTAAAATTTTAATACTCTGAAAGTAGGTTGTTTACAAAAAATAAAACAATAAATATAAGCTTAATACATAATTTAAAATAAAAAATTATTTTTTCTTTTTATTAAACTTTATACTTTAATAAGTAACTTAATATCTAATTCTCCTAGTATATTTTATTATAACAGAATATTCTTTAAACAAAACATTACATTCAATGTATAGATCTTCCGTGGCTTAAATCAGTCAACTTTTGTGTCGAGCGGTGGCCTATAGCTCACGGGAGGGGCTATTATTCGGTGTTTTCGATGGTTTTTCAGTATGTGTTGCCGATTCTCATCGTCAGTATAGTCTACACCAGGCTTTGCCTCAAACTGAAGACACGGGCCATACGTCGCACATCGACCACACAATTACCTAAACTCAAGAGTCGGTTGAAGAAAAGGACCCGAAAGACGAACTCATTGTTGATATCCATTGCATTGATATTCTGTATCTCATGGCTGCCCCTCAATCTCATTAACATTATCGCAGACTTTTGCTTTCCATTCAAGTCGGACAAGACTTTCAGAATCGTGTTCGCCATCTGCCATATGGCAGGTCCGGTAGCCCTTCATTTACTACTTGTATACTGACATTAAAAATAATATTTCTGATCATTTAAACTAAATATTTAACCAAATCATAAAATTTTGTTATTTAACAAATAATCCTTCTGGATAAATCTATTATAAATTGATCAGATAATACAATAATTTAGTACAGTATACTGAATATATTCAAAATGTATCATATCACATTTGAACTAATTATATGAATGTCATTATGATGGGACAGGTATGTCGAGCGCGTGTTCCAATCCACTGCTGTACGGATGGCTAAACTACAACTTCCGTAACGAATTCAAAGAGCTGTACACTGTTTTCCAGTCATTTCTCACTAAATGCTTCAACGGAAAGGCGGCCATCAATAACAACACTATCATGAAGTCCGGGGCCAACCGACGCCCGTCCCATATATACTGCGGGCCGACACACCTGTTCGAGGAGCTCGACCACAACGACCTGCACGCCAACCGACTCACCCGAGAGACTATGGTTGTGGCGACCAGTGCTAATGACATACCCCTTACCGTCTCGTGTGAATACAAATGAATTCATATATAATACGATTTGATTCATAGAAAAGTCAATGTTTTTGAAAATATTAATGTTTTTCCATAATATTGTATAGAATAAGCAATTTGACACCATAAATAATTTTAATTATCAAATTCATTTATATCTTGTGTATTGCATGTAATATAAGTATACAATTGTTTCACGTTTATTATTTTATGTATAGTCTACTTAAGATATAATTTGTCAATTAATTTTGATTACACAAAACATTATTTATTTATTTCATATAATTCTTTAAATATTTCGGAGAATTTATCAAACTTATTATATAAGGATTATTTATATGCTATTTATTTAGTATACAGGAATTTAATTTTTTATTGTTTTTATAAGTTTCATTTTTTGTTGTATATATTATATATTTTCAAACATTCAAAAGCAATGTTTGATAACAATCATCGAAATTAAGTCATATG